GTGGGGGCGGCCGTCCTCAGGCGTCGCCTCACCGGGCGCCTGGAGGAGGGGGGCTCGTGCGCCCCTCCTGCGTGTCCTCCCTGGACTGCGCCCAGGCCCGGTTTCTGGACACCGCACCTGTGCGCTGGCTCCCACGGTGGGCGCCACCTCCCGCCGGGTGCTGGCAGGGGCGTGCCAGCAGGGGCGCCGCTGACTTGCGGGCTCCGGCTGGGGCAGGACGGGCCGGGAACGGCCGCCGGCACAGGGCTTCCCCTCTGGGGCCACACGCGTGGCCTTTGTGCTGACAGCGCCGTGCTGTCCGTGAGGCCTGGCTTCCGCTGAGCAGAGCCTCGCGCCCAGGAAAATCGGCAGGGACGAGCCCCGCGCACAGCTCCGGCGACGCGGTCCCCTGCCTGTGCCGCCGCGGGCGCCCTCACGCTCGCCCGGGCTCTGCAGCCACCGCCCTCCGCCACGTGCCGGGCGGCTGCTGAGCGAGCGCCGGGCGTCGGGCTGGACGCGGTGGGGTGAATGTTGGGGTTTCCAGGGCAGGGCCTGGCCAGAAACAGGCGCCTCTGACACGCCGGGCCCCTGGGGCTCAGCAGCCTCCCCGGCACGGATCGGTCACAGCCTGGGGCCAAACCCGCCCAGCCCACGGGGCCCAGCGCTGGTCCTGGCCCCGCTCTGGCTGACCTGGACCGCCGTGGTTTTCTCCTGCGGTCCACGTAGTTGCCCATTCGTTCACCTGCCCACGGCCGGGCCGGGTCAGCCCTGGTGGGAGGCCAGGCCGCGACTCCGACTTCCAGGGCGACAGATGGGCCGGCAGGGAGGCGGGTGAAGGTCCGGCCGAGGTCAGAGGCCCGGGCCTCGCCCTCCCGGGGCCCGGCTGGCTCTGGCAGCAGCGCCTGCCGACGGCGCTGTCTGTGATGAGACGGGGTGGCCCCTGCTGCTGCCCTGTGTCCGCGGCACGGGTCTGTCCCCGAGGGCCGCAGCACCCGCCGCTTTTGGAGGAGTGCAGGTCCGGGTGGCCGGTCCCGGGTTGGGCCCCGGGTCTGGATGGGCGTCCTCACGTCTGGTGGACGAAAGTCCCCCACGAGGAGGGAGCGCGGCCAGGGCAGAGGCGGCCCAGGAAGGGGGGCGGGGGGCACTGCTGGGCCGGCTGCCGACCTCCGGCTGCACCCCAGGGCCGCGTCCTGGGAGACTCACAGACTGTGAACCCCTCCCCGCGGCGCGGGGGCCACGGCCGTGCCGTGTCTGGGAGTCCAGCTCCCCGAAGCCTCGGCGCCGCGGGTTCCCCAACGGCCTCGGTCGTGCTGGGTGCGCGTTGGGGACGGTTACTTGCCGCCGCCTTATTAACGGTAACAGCTTCAGTGGGTGTTTCTGCACATCGTCGTGCCTCCCAGGCCCGCTGGAGAGCTGTTTAGTCCGCGCAGACTGGAAGGATCGAGTGCTGTTCATTAACGATAATTAGCCTGATCAGTTCATTAATAAGTAGGCTCGTTACTGCTTGTTTTCATTAGTCATAATTAAAAGTCATCATTGTGTTGTGCATATTTAGATCTAGTGGTAATTTGTCACCCTCATTAATAACGAGATTAATTAGTTATGTCGTTGTCTTCGTCGAAGCCGAGAGTGAGGTCACCCTTGGGAGGCCGCCCCCACGCTGGGCGAGGCCACACGCCCTGATGAGCCAGCCCCGGGGCGTGGGGCTCCCCGCTGCGCCTGGAGCCGCAGAGACGGAGGCCCCCGGGGTGGGCTCACCGAGGCCCGGTGTCCGCGCAGTGGGCGGGCAGCCCCAGGGGCGGGGTCCACCTGGGCCGTCCTGCCCCGGCCCCGCCCTCACCCCCTGTGCCATCGCCGCTGCCAATGGAGCTCACGGCCCCCACATCGGCCTCGGCGCGGGCAGGCTCCCGACCTACCCAGCACAGCCCCAGAGCCCTCGGGGCCCGCACCGTGGCCTTTCCGCACCACTTGTAGTGACCAGGCGAGGGCCGGGACACCGGGGCACCCAGACCCTGGGAGCTGCCCACCCCCGGGGGCAGGAGGTGTGCGGTGCTGGTGCCCCTGACCCTCTGGGCCCCAGTGCGGGACCCTGCACACACAGGAGTCAGCCCTTCGAGGGGCCACGGGGCCACCGGCACACCGGCCTTCAAAGCTTATCTTTGGGCATTTGGCCAGAGAACCCGACACCCCGAGTGCGGCCGTGTCCCTCGGGGCGCTGCTTGTGACGGCGGAGATGTGGCAGCAGCAAGCCGGGCGCTGCGGAGGGAGGGCTGGAGCCAGCAGAGGTGGTGCCGCCTCTGTGGAGTACTACTCGGCCCTGAAGAAGGCGCCCGCTGCCGGTGACAGCAAAGGGAAGGAGCCGGAGGGAGAGCGGTGCAGGGGAGCGAGCGAGCGGCAGATAGCGGGCATTGCGCAGGAGGCAGCCGGCAAGGCGGAACACTCACAAAACTAGTAGCTACCAGTAAAGGGAGGCGAAGGATGGTGGGAATGCAGGTCTGAGGGCCCAGGCCCACCCACTGGCACTGCACCATCGGGCAGGGTGGCCCACACCAGAGCCGGGGCCCCGCCCGAGGCGCCTGCGGCCTGCAGGAGACTGGACGGAGAGCGGGACTGGCCGCTGTAAGCACAGCGCCGCACCCTCCGCCCCGTCCGCCTGCTTGTGCCCCAGCCCAGCTGCTGGGAGTGCAGGCCCCCGAGCTGGGCACTGGCGAGAGGGCCTTCTGAGCCCTGACCGCTGTCCGGCTTGTCCACCTGGGGCCGCAGCGCCGCATGCCCATTGCAGCAGAGGCCGGAGGCGGCTCGCGGCCCTGCCGGCCCGGGGGAGGCCGCTTTCCAGACTCTCCAGCCACGCCCCCGCCCTCTGGGTCTGTCAGTGGCCTCTGGTGGCCAGGCCATTTCGGGTCATTGCCACATAGGGCCGCGCTGGCCCTGTGACTGCAGCAGACTCTTACTAAGCCCTTGCTGTGTGTGCAGCCGTGAGCCAGCTGCCCTGCAGCCCACGGGCCGACAGACTCAGGCCCTGGAACGGTGCCGAAGGTCCTTCCCCTGCGCAGGGTGTAGCTGCCCACAGGAAATCACGCCCAGGGCAAGGCTGTCGGGGGCGTCGGGGAGGGCCGGGCGCTGCCTCTGCGCCCCCATCTAAGGCCGATTCACCGGCCTCCGAGTCTGTAACACGGGCCGAGAGGCCGCCTCGCAGGAGGCCGTGCGCACTGAGTGAGGTCGTGGGGGTCAGGGCGGGGGCCCCGGAGGACGCAGAGGGGCCCCCCTCTGGCTGCGGCAGCCCCCTGCCCCACCTCCCGCGGGGCCAGCGTGGATGGCAGTGTGCTACACCGTCCGCGGCGCCGGCATCAGGCCGGAGCCCATGGACCCCCCAGGACTGTGCCTCCTCGGCCTGGCCCGGGCGCTCCAAAGCCGCTGACTGTGGGCCGCCCCAGACCTGGGCCCTAGGGCCTGCCTGGGAGAGCGTCCCTGCCCTTATGAAGAGCTGGGCCGATGGCTTCATAGGGCCGGGCCCGCAGGTCCCCTGGGGAGGGTGGCTGTGTGGCCAGCGGCTACGCGGCCCTCTCTGGGCCTCCCTTTTCTTTATCGTCCATTAGACGATGACCCCGAGCTGCCTGCTCTCGTGGGCTAAGACGCTCAAACAGGCCGTAGCAGGGGAGGCCAGGCCAGGGTGCCGAGGTGGTCCGGGCCGGCGTCCGGGAACAGTCACGACGACGGGACCCCAAACCGAGTGGGGAAACTGCAGGAGCAACAGGCCACCGGCCCCCAGAATCCCTCTCCCTGCTCATCCACCAGGGTGACCCCGGCTGGCCCCTGTCAGGTCGCGGTCCAGCGCTGCCTGGACCCTCGGAGGATCCAGCTCCACGCAAATGTTCCCCAACAGACACCGCAAAGATCCCGGGGTGGGAGAGCTACAGGAAAAACAGGTTCCGCGCCAGCCTCTGTCCTGAGGGCCCCTGTCTACGCCGGCTGCTGGCTCGCCAGCGCCCCCAGAGGGCGGAGAGGGAATGTCGGGAGCAGCAGCGTGGCCATTTGTTGGCGTGCATCGCCCCCTAGTGGCCAGGGGCGGTTCAGGTCCTTGACTCCTTCGGGCCACCGGCCCCAGGCTGGACTCCCTGGCCACGAGATGCAGAGGGGACAGGAGGGGCCGGTGGCGCGTGTCCCACATGGAGAACTGGAGGAAATGGCAGAGAGGCGGAGAATCGCAGGCGGGAAGGCAGGGAGAGGCCCCCCAGCAGCCAAGGGCCTGGCTAGGTCTCCTCCGAAGCCGGCGTGGTGAGGGGTGCCCAGGAAGGCCGCCGCCACACCAGAGCGACGCCCGGGGTCGGGAGTGGGGCCACCGAAGGTCCCCTGCTGGCGAGGGACGGGCAGTGCTGCGACGGCCTAGGCTGGACGGTTGGGGCGCGCAGAGCCC